GGGTAGCGTGCCCCGGATCCCCACCCCTGGGTGAACGGGTCCCGGATGGAGCGGGCTTCTCCGAGCATCGCCCAGAGCCCCTCCCTGGCGTGGCAGGCTCAGACGGGCGACTACGGCTCTGGGTTCGGAAGTGGGACCACAGCTCAGACACAGGACCCCAAATCTGGGGGTGGATGGAGGACTATGGCTTGGACATGGGACCACAGTTCAGACACAGGAGCCCATCTCCAGATTTGGATGTGGGATCACAGCTCCAACACGGGACCCCAAGCCTGGATGTGGATGCAGGACCACTGCTCAGACACAGGATCCCGTCTCCCAGCCCAGGCCCAAACCAACGTGATGAACCAGGCGCATCCCCACCCATCTTCCCACGAGCTTCACCAGGACCGTGAGCACGGTGAGGGCTGAGCCGGCTGGGCTCAAATCCCCCACAACAACCCTCCCTGCTTCCCCACATCCCAACTCTCCAGGGGGCAGGGCGCTCCCCCGATAAATGTTTCCTGGGTGTCGAAGGACAAGGCTGGGAGGTGTCGGCAGAGCCGGAGGTGCTGTAACCACCCAGCAAAGCAGCTCCGTGGCTGGAGCCCGCTGCCGCAGCAGAATTATTTCAGTAATCCAATCTACGCCGGTGCCTTGCCGGGCGATCCCGCTGCGCTGGGTGACAGTGACAAGCCGGCAGGTAAAATCCCAAGCGAAATGCAAAAGCAATGCACTGGGGAGAAGATGCTCCTAATTACAACTGATGAGAATGGGCTCTTAATTGGCTGGCGCCAGCCGGGGGTGGGCACCACCGAGTGGCTGCAGGGTCCCAGATCTGACAGAGGAAGGAGGGTGTCCCCATGGATTCCTGTCCCCTGCCCTTGGGACACAAGTCCTGGGGGTCCTCTCCTCCTTGGGAAACACAGTGGTGTCTGCTGAGTCCATGGACATCCTGCGGTGGCGTGGTAACCCAGCGGTCAGACGCTGTTAACTCTGGAGCCTACTGATGGCCTGGCAGGTGGTCCCATGGAGTTTGCTCTCACCCACGCAGCCATCCCCCTTATGCCTTCACCAACACTGTCACTCTGCTAAAAGCCACTCTGTGACTACCCTGCCACCATGAGGGTCCCCGTCCTCAGGAGGGGGACACGGTCAATCTCAGTTGGTCACAGCACCCCAATCTCTGGGAGATGCTGCCTTGCCTGGAGTTGTGCTGAGGAAGAGGAGGGGGGGAAGGAAAACCAGGAAAAGCCGATTGGTGCTGGGCTCTGCTGCCATCATCCCCCCCCTCCCCGCCTCAGCCATTGCTGCCCAGTGCCATCCGTCTTCCCTTGTTAAGGAGCCGCCTCGTCACTGCACGCCCGCCAGCCCTTCACGCTAAGCAGGGAAGATAAATGGCAGCGCCAGGACTGGGCTGAGCTGCTCCTGGCTCCGCAGTGACAGAGGAGGTGAGGGCTGCACCACATCCCCCCTTGTCCCCCTTGTCCTGCTCCGTGCCTCGGTTTCCCCATACCACAGAGGTGGGAACCATGGAGGGGACATGGCCCCAGCCCTGGGAGCTGGTTCTGCAGCAGCTGCTGTCATCAGCTGCAGTGACACTGCGGTGGGGGTGTCATCAGCCCTGGGGACACTGTGGGATGGTCCCTGCCATGGCCAGCTGTGCCCACAGACCCGGGGCTGTCGAGTGACGGTGGGCAGTGGGGTGGTCCCATATCTGGGCTGAGTCACTCATGGTGACGCTCAGTGCCTCAGGGACACCATGTGCCCCACATGTCACAGCCACCACGGCGCAGGACCCCGGAGTGTGGCAGCAAGTGCCCCCCAGGACCCACACACAGGAATGGTGGTGGGTGCTCCCCCCAGACTCCATATGAGGTGGTGGGAGCCCCCCAAGACCTTTGGGTGCAGCAGTGGGTGCCCCCCCAGATCGCCAGGCACGATCCTGCCCCCTAGGACCTCCCAGTGCATCCCTGTGTCCCTGCAGACAGGGTCACTTGGGGACCATCCCCAGGCCCCCACCCACACACCCCCCATCCGGGCTGTGTCCCCCTCACCCCCCCAACCATGGCACCGCTGCCCCCCCCCCCC